TATGAAATTATGTAAAGTGTAGTAGTATAAAGTATACCTCAATTGTTATTGCTTAATTTGAAAAAAGCCTTATTATATGTTCTATGTATGTATATCCCAGAACGTAGCTACCACTGAACGATAACGTTAAGATGTTTAGTCTTATAAGGTGTCATTCATGTATTTGGATTCGTGTGTTGAGTTTCCCAATCGTCGCATTCGCAACTATCAAAAGACATTATTTACATACGTTAGACCTTTTAGATTCTATTAAAACAATGTAATACTTTTAAAGAAAAAATGTAATGGGCACTTACCTATTTTTTTAAGTCAGATTGTTTGTTTTAGAAACTATGGTGGCGACGGAACGCCAGGCTGCTCATTTTGGCAGTTGTGGTGGCGACTGAAGGCCAGGCTGATTATTTTTACAGTTCTAATTCGATTAGCTGCAGTATTGGATTATGGTATTTTCTGTAAGAAAAAAATATACGGATCTTTCGCACATCTGGGCCAAGATCTTTTGCTGATATTAGAGTCATCCGCATAGATCCAACTAGAATCAGGATCTCTTAACATGCTTGTATAATAACCACTGGTTAGATGTTGTCCATGATGAAACACAGCGCTTGTTACTTTCTAATTATTTCCACCTAATGATAATTTACTTGTGGGAATCTTTTTGATTTTGCAAATTTCAATTTTAATCATATGCCCACCCTGAAAACGATAAAGTAACAATTGAAGGACAACAACGTTCTTTCCCAATGAGACTTGATATTTTCGAATTTTACTAGTTGCATGACACTGTTGGCAATAATCGTCATTAATGTAATGCCAATGTGATGCCCAGTTGTGCACAAACCCAATTGGACACAAATGCGAATTTCTGCCTCCTGAGCGATATTTCATCATTAATTCAACTGTATTGTAAGTTATCTTTATCTGACGAAGCTTTTTCAAGGATTTAATGCTCTCTTCAGTCGGACTCGCTCGCTTCGCTCGCTCGCCGACGATATACTTATTCACTAACCTACCCAATCTCCGAAATTTGAACATTCCACCCTATCTTAAGCTTACCTAACTAAACCTAGCGTAAACTAATGTTGAACCACATACAATATGTTGAAATAATAGTTTTTATTTGTTGTTACTAATAGTTTTTTTTAATTACTCTTTGTCATAAAAAAAACTTCCGTACAGCTAGAAGTTCGTAGCGACACTGATTTTTCCGAGGCTGAGCATGCGCGAAGACGCCACACTGTTTGTCGAAAGGTTCCGATATTAACAGAACGACTCTCACGTGCGGTAGGCCCATGAACAAAAAGCTCGTTCATATCGAACGACAAAATGCGCGAAAAAGAAAACTTATTCACGCTAGCACAATATACTATAAGACATTAGTATATATTATAAGACATCGTTCGTACCTAATCCTACTCCATCTATTTAAAAGTGTACAGAATTTGGAGTAAAAAGTTATTTGTGTCCAATTGGCCTGTGCGCCAATTTGTCCTACCCGATTTTCCTCATAGGCCTGCATCATCTCTTGAAAAAGATTCTCATCGTCCTTCGTTGCTTTTGCTATTTTGCTGGTAGAAACATTGAAAAGTTATTTTCTACATCGAAAATTAGTCTTATTCCATATTTAGTTTGGATCTTTTTTATTCTAATAGTATAATTATTCTAATATTCCTTTTGAGGTTCTAGTACTATCAATTTTTTCATAGAAAGAAACTCATCCAAACAAGCGATCTCGTTCAACGTTGAGTAATCCATGTTCACTTCATGTGCAGATTTTTCAAATTTCTTATAAGATAGTCACAATCACTTGTAATTTGAATCAACTGCTTAACTTCAGCAATATTCCTTCGCAGTAACTCTATACGAGCTTTTAACTCACGTCGTTTTTTAATATTTCCCATCAGTTGACAAATGGTAAGAAACTAATGAAGATGCATCAAGCTCATCCTTTTATACAGTTAGCCTTCTTTGTTTAAGGGGTGGGGAACTAATATTAAACATGTTGTCGGACTTTGAGCCGTGCTGAAAGATGCACAAAATTCTAAGGAAGTTCTAGAATATTCCTGTATTTCAGAGGGCCGTATACTCAACGCACAATTCACGTTCAAGATCAAATTGAATGCTGTCTAAAACCTGCATGGGGATGGGGAATCGATCTCAACGCATAAATTCTTGGAACCGCTTTTCGGCACTGCATTGCACACCCTTTTGATCCGCCGATAGAACGCAATAGTATCAAAGGTACGCAGCGAATATTTCATCGTTCCTAGAAGTGATTAACATTCCAAGGGACTATATGGTGACAATGTACGTGCATGTAGGTGCGTATGCAGAAGTTTCAAGGTATTATATTCTGCACAAGCGGTGGGGTGCTAATGCTAACGATGTCGTTAGACTTTGACCCGTGTTGGAAGATGCGAAAAATTCCAAGAAAGTTCTAGAAGCTTCCTGCATTTCAGATAGTTGCATCATAAAAGCACAATTCTGAGAGATAACGTTCAAGGTTAAACCGGTTGCCCTTATATTCTTCAGGAGTGCGGGGAAGGGGCTACTACAACACGTGACTTGACAGGTTCGCCATCTCTAGGAAAGACTCTGTACGATTTAGCATATAGAAACTATTGAAGGGTCTAGAAGGTTTCCGATCGTGAAAGAGAGCAGAAAACTCTTGGAATCAAATGTCAAATTCCTGAAGGCGGTCGTCAAATTTTCGGCATCGGGTGTCAAATTTCTGGGGGAGGCTCCACTGGTGCATAGACCAATTCGACAGAAATGACTTTTTACTCCAAGTTCTGTACACTTTTAAATAGATGGAATAGAATTAGGTACGAACGATGTCTTATTATAGTATATCGTATGTTGTTCAATATTAGTTTACGCTAGGTTTAGTTAGGTCAGGTTAGAATGGGTGGAATGTTCAAATTTCGGAGACTGGGTAGGCTAGTGGATAAGTATATCGTCGGCGAGAGAGCGAAACGAGCGAGTCCGATTGAACAGAGCATTAAATGTTTGAAAAGGCTCCGTCAGATAAAGATAAGTTATAATATCGTTGAATTACTGATGGAATATCGACCAAGAGACAGAAATTTGTATTTGTGTTCAATTGGGTTTGTGCGCAAATGGGCTTCACCCAAATTTCTGAAACTAACCTCAAATTCCTAAATTTCGAGGGGTTCCGATGATGCCATCGTCAAAATCGAAGGGCTCCAAGGTCTCAATTTAGCAGAGGTGATAACCATCGAACGCTCTCGAAGGTCGGTAAGTGTCGGTTACAGGAATCTCTATCCAGAACTCACCAACTTCTACTACAGTTTCGTTTTGTATTTTCTACAATTTCTTTTCTAACTTTTTCTATTAATCTGTATTGGCATATGTTATAGCGAATGAAACTTAAATGAATTTACAGTTATTAGGGGTATATCTCCCAAAAAACACTTGTACGTGTAAAAAACTACGCCAAGTACAGGAGTGCTGTGTATTCCTCTAATAAAAAGTATTGATATCAGATTATGGAGACCAAGTACATAAGTCACTACATGTTTGCCTATTATATGATCTAGCACTGACCCATCGTTTTAATTGTCTTTTCAAAATTTCTTATAACGTTATCACTACTCTTTTACATTACTACTGCTTCCCCTAGTTGATTATGATTTAATGGTCATTTAATAATTAATAAAACTTTAGGTGATTCCTTATCGAGTACTACTTGGCGGGTTCGTGCATTTCATGACATAAATTCGCGTTCATTACGCCAGTCATCAAACTCAAAACCAATGTCAACTTTCTATATACAGCTCATTCACAATAACTCGTCAAAAATAATCACGGTAAAAGCTTAATAACAAACATATAGTTTTAGGATACTATTAGTACGTTCAAAGTAAGTACTTTGGAATTCCTGGCACGGATCCGCCAAGTAGTGCTCGATAAGGTTATAACCTAAAGTTTTATTAATTATTAAATGACAATTAAATCATAATCAACTACGGGAAGCAGTAGTAATGTAAAGAGTAGTGAAAACATTATAAGAAATTTTGAAAATACATTTAAAATGATGGGCCAATGCTAGATCATATAATAGGCAAACATGTAGTGACTTATGTACTTGGTCTCCATAATCTGATATCAATACTTTTTATTAGAGGAATACACAGCACTCCTGTACCTGGCGTAGTTTTTTACACGTAAGTGTTTTTTAGGGGATATCACAAGTTCTTGTTGGTCAACGGGACATAGAAGCTCTAAGCACTGAAATCTATATTTTCA